ATGACTCACTCATTAGAATCAAATATAAAATATGCCTGGTCAGTGAAATAGGTGTGTTGCATAAAACTATAGTATAGAAAGCTTGAAAATAATCGTTTAAGTTTTATTAGACTAATGACGCTTAGTAACCGCTGTGCCCTCTATTGTTAAGTAGAACCTTGTTCAATTTTCTTGGTATTGACTCAACCAAGCACTGATAAGTTTCCTTTGGTATAGCATACCACTCTTTTTGAACTGTGGTCCATAGTTTTTTTTTTTTTTTTCCTTTGGTTTGTTTTTTCCGTCGATCTTGTTTTCCGTGCTGAGCACCAATGCTACCGACGTGCCAGGAAGGCAGCTCCCACACCTGGACCCTACCTATCGACCCATCAATTCATGAACCAGGGACCAACGGCTTTACTTCCCATCCGAAGGAAGGCGTGATCAGAGATGTTATGCCTCAGAACATCCCGGCGGCGCCGACTGGGATTGAACCCAGGCCTACTGGGGTGAGAGGTAATCACGCTTACCACTACACCACCGGCGCCGTTATGGTCCATAGTTGATCCTTATTTGAAAATGCTTGACCAGATAACTTTCTTTTAAGCTCGTTCCATAAAATTTCGATGGGATTGATGTCAGGAGCAGGGCTCTACATTTTCGAAGCTCTAACATGAACTCGAGTTTTGTTTCTCTCATACAAACGTGTTCAACGCTTCATTTCTATAACGCCTAGCTAGACTATCATCAAGAGATGATAATGAAAAAGAAGCACGCTTAGAAGGAAACGCTGGCTGTGGATCTTCTCGTCGTTGCTTTGCTCATCGCTTTCAGTGTAAGTAGTATCGATTTTCTACTTAAAAGAAACCTCATTATGGCTTTTAATCCCCTTTCACGAACACTCTATGACCGCTCTTTCAATTTGTTTAAAATGCGTTTTCGTTAAATTTTTTTAGATAAATGTGTGGATGGAAGATAAATTAAACATATTACGTGTAATCTTCAAGTGTTTTCACATGAGAAGTGCTTTAAATGTGTTATTTCATTTTCCTTCATATACGTCATGAAACCTCTGTTGATGTGTTTCATGAAAGAGAAAACATCAAAGTCGAGCGCTCTTTCGCTCATCCGTTTCACCGAAACTTGAAAGGAAGACCAATGGAGCGACGGGAGAAAGAGAGGCAAGCGATTGAACATTTGTTTGTGCACGCCGAGTGAGGTTCTAGAATACTGCGAAGTTGTTCGACTTTATCAGAAAAAGAAAGCCAGCAGTCTCTTCGTCACATCGATTTGGTCGATTGAAGCTGATATTGTGACGCCCTGGTCAGGGGATTAGCTAAGCCATGAAATAACCGACACTTTGTTTGCACGAAACCATTCCTTTACATACTTAGAAGTGTGTTTTGGAACGTTGTCTTGCTGAAAATGCCATATAAGAGACATGTTCTCTTCTGCATAAGGGAGCATAGCCTCCTCCATGATTTCATTGTATTCAAATCTGGTCATGATGGAATTAATATCCATACTTTACTGTCTTTACCGTGTACCGCAGATCAAACTCTTTAACGGATGGTCTGAGTGAGAATATAGTAAATTACTATTTTGATTTCATTTGACATGTGAAAGTTTTTGCTCAGGAACGAAACAATAACATATGAAACAAAACGATTAGATGGTCGGAGTGTAAAAGCAGGTAAGTACGGAAAGTACCTAATTCAGATATCCCAAAACTCATCCGAGAGGGATCCCAAGAAAGCTAATTGAGCCATGCGTTTTGCATTGAGCCGATATCGATTCTGTGTGGTTTCACCAGTTTTGAAGAATAGCCTCTCTGACGGAGCACTAGTTACCATTCTTGATAAACAGTCTCGAGCAATGGGGTTTACATGGGGCTATACACTACGGATTTTCTCCCATCATCGAAAAAGATCGACAGAACGTGGGAAAACAGGCTGATGCAATAAATTTTGTACTTCTGCCGATATGCCCCCATGGCGATCCAGTTTTGACATAGCAGAGGACTGATGAACCTGAAATATGTCATAAGAAGTGAATGTTTGTACATATGTAGATTAATAACTTTCATTACCATTTCGTCACAGGCCTCCGGTTGGTTTGGGTGGAGGGGACAGATGTGTGCAATCATCGTATACTCTTTCGGTACTATAGATCTGCTCAGACACAACTTTAATTGCCCGAGCGTGAGCTGAAGATTCCAGGAGGTCAATATTATAGCGAATTCGTTTATTATCGGGGTTAACACCAGTTCCAACCCAGTGCGAAACCGAACTTCTTGTCAGTGCGAACGTCAACTTGAGCTAGGTTTTAAAAACAAACGAGCAAACTAACGTTTGTCAGAAATCAAACAGATTCAATCTTCCCGATCCAGGTTGGAACTGAATAATAAACGAATTCGCTATTAAATTGCAAATGCAAATGCACTGAAATTTTGTTGTTTCAAAAAATCGATTAATCGAACTAAAAGAATCGATCCAAGATCGCCCATTGCTAATGCCATCCAAGTTTGGACTACTCACCATGCCACCCATGATGCAGAGCGATCGTATAGAGTTCTGTACCACCGTTAGTATTAGTGAGAAGTTTCACTAATACATGCATTTTACTGGTTGAAAAAAAAAAAAAAAAAACAAACCACTGTCAAGTCGAACACTTTGACGGCTGATTTCGTGGTTGAAAATAATAAACAAACCGATTTTACACGACTACGCTCGCTAGGTTGTATTAGTGAGATCTTGCGTCGAGAAGTCATTTGAGAGGGTACAGCAAAAAAAAAATCGTTCGCTACGTTCTAAGACGTCTCCCGCGGAAGGACCCGCAACAACTTCCCCCCTACGTGGATAGATGCCAACTCATCGAAATGAACACTCTATCATGGAGAAGGACTTTGTTGAATCCGCTGTTTGTTTTTTACATTCTCTCTGGCAAATACAAATTCCCCAAAGAATTCTCCTGAACTAAAACTCCTATGGAGTTCCGTCTATATTCCGCATAGAATTCTCTTCGACTAGTTACGTAAATTCTTTGAAATGGCCCTCAAAATTCCTTAGAAACTCTTCTTTGTGTTCGCTACATATGATTACAGAAGCAACCTTGAAACTCCATAGTATTCCTTTGAAATTTACCTCAAAACTTCGTAGTAAATTTGCTTGAAACTTTCCTCAAAATTAAGTATTAAGTACTCCTAAGAGCACTGTTGGAATCATCTCCCTTGGATTCTGCTTCTTCCCTGTGGAATTCTACTTACAAGTACCTTGAAATTCTCCTTCGAATTCAATTTCAATTCTCTTAGAAAAGTCTCATCAAAATTACTTAGTTTTAGTCCGAACTCTCTTCGGAATTGCCTTGATATTTTCTTGTAAATTTACTTTGAATCCTAGATAGATACCCTGGACGGGGAAGGACACGAAATCTGCGCTGGATTGGAAGCCGTCAAGACATGGCAGCAGGGGCACTCTTAGGGGCTCATGGCGGCGGAGCCTCAAACAAGTCGATAGGAATTTCACCTGGGGACAAGCTAAAACTAAAGCAAGCAGCCGCTAAGGATGGAATTGTTTCGACTCTTTGCACCACTGAAGGTGCCCAGAATACTTAAGTGAGCAAAGAAGTAAGATTTGACTATGTTAAAAAAAAAATGTATACAGCCTTTGATGTGATTTAATTGGAATTATATTGATGATACATCAAGCCACTGTCATAAACGTGCAGTTCGGTGTGCAAACTCGTATAAAATCCTCGGTGGTACACTTGCCCCAAGATCCCCTAGGAGTGCAATTTCAAATAGAATTTGCTGCCAAATGAAGTCTACAACATTGACCATTGTTGATAAGATAAGATTCACCCACCGGTGAAACTCTTCCCATCCCATCAGAAACCAATGACATTTATATAAGGTCTGGGCCAACAGGCAAGCTTGCTGGTGTTAGAAGCAAAAATGTTGTAAACAATGCTGAACATCTGCGAACAGATAGAAATACGTCACTGCCAACATACTCCCCCTAATTCTGCGAGTCACGTGACTCTCTGTCACCGGTGAGGTGACAATTGTCACCTCGTGTGAGGTGACTCTCCGTGCAAATCAAATGGAGAGTCACCTCACACGAGGTGACTATTGTCACCTCACCGGTGAGAGAGAGTCACGTGACTCGCAGAATAGGGGGGACTAAGAACAGATAGGAATACATAGAAACACTGGAATAAGAGACCAGCGGAGACACTGTTATGATTCCAGTCGAACTGTCAAAAGCGGTTCCAATCTGCAATGTTTACAAATGGTTTGCTTCGATTAGGGAGGAGTATTAAAATCGTTTAACAATCACTCATGAACTCGCTCGTCGGTTCATTGGCGAAGTCACTCGCAAGCAGTTACAAATGCAAGTGATGCCAGGATTGCTTTGATGTTTATCTTGTTGCTAAATTCATGTTTTTTTCTCCGCTGGTCTCTTATTCCAGTGTTTCTATAGAAATATTTCTATAGGAATACATCACTGCCAACAGCTGTTTCGTGTAAAAAATAAACATTGCAATAAAATACGAACACCACTAAACATTTGCATAAGCCCTTTGGCCCAGACCTTATATAAACGTCATTGATCCGCAACGGCAGATTGCGAAATCAAATTGCTGGCATCCCGATGGTGACGCCAGACTATGTCTGTGTCTGTGCCAAAGACCAAAATCCAGAATGTTCCTTCCTAACCTATATTCCAACGAGAGCACCGATCAACAGAGCAAAAATAATGAAAGAAGCCCAAGCAATAAATTGGTACCCCCTTCCCAACAACGGCCCCAGGTTACATCCGTACCAATGGAAATGTCTGCCCTTCATTTTCCCCTGCCCTGCAAAAGCAGGTGTCAGTTCAATCTTTTCCCCACCCACGACCCCGAAATAGACACTATCCATCATCGTCGTCCTTGTTTAGTTAGTAGGGTACAACGGGACCAATATAAACCATCCCTGAGTCGTCAAGTGGAAATTGGTGGTGGAAAGGGGGTTCAATTACCGTAATGAGAACGATGTTGCTGTTGAGTTTGAAGTGCCGATCGCAAAACTCCTTCAGCAGGGATCGATTGTCCTCGAAGCAGTTTGGCGGCAGATGGGTCGCGTAAAATTCCTCCCAGTGTGATGAGCTCATTCTGTGCTTCCTGAATAATCGTCGTCGTCCGGATCTGGCGGCAGCAGCAGCAGCAGCTACTCCAATTCAGCGATGGAATGTTTCGTTGAGTCACTTTTCTGATTGCACGGCAAACTAGCTAGAAGAACACCATTTTCCTCCGGATTAATTGTCTGATAATGCACTTTCTTGACTGTTCTTCGAATCACACCAAACCAGACACTTGTTAGCACGTTAACGACCAGCAGCGATTAGCTTTCTTTTCCAGCAGCAGCTATTTTGTTGGTGCTTGAAAATTTTCCTCGCAGTTCATGCGATAATTCACTTTTTTGACACTCTTTCTTCAACGCGACGGCAACCGTCAGTGGCTGACTGACACGCACACACTTTTACACCTCAACAATAATTAACTACTGTCAAACGAATGACTGGGAGGGGGAAGGAAATGAAGGAAATGCGTGAAAAACACTCTTTCTGCCCGGTGGAAAAATATTTCTGACGGAAATCACTACCAACACAACCAAGGCGCTCGCCAAGGGAAACGAACAATGGACGATGGAAAAGTTTGGCTGGGTGCGAGCAGGAAATCAAAACAAACCGAACGACAACGGACGCTTCAACGACATGCGGTATTTAGTTGACCGATTCCGGCGGGATTCATGCGAGGGGTTCGTGCATGTGCGGAAAAGGGATTTCGTTGAGCACAGGAAATTTTTTTGGATTGGCGGTAAAAAAATTCGTTGATGTGTACAAACTCAAATTTAGTTATCGTTTTCGGTATTTTTACCGAAATCTTACCGGTGAACGTTAATTTTTAGGCCGATTTGGCTCACAAATAAGTTCAAAACACGTTCAATCTTGTTCAAGTGGGGATTTCGTTTTAAAGTAGCTGTAAAACAATTAAATTGAACTGCCCAAATTTAACGGAACAGCTCAGCTGTTGAGATTTCCTCGATAGTTTCTAATAGTGAATTCGTTTATTATCGGGATTAACACCAGTCCCAATCCAGTGCGAAACCGAACTTTTTGTCAGTGTGAACCTCAACCTGAGCTAGGTTTTAAAAACAAACGAGCAAACTGACGTTTGTCAGAAAACAAGCAGACCCAACCCGATCCAGGATGGAACTGAATAATAAACAAATTCGCCATAAGGCAGATGGGAGAGTGCAAGCTGGCGACCGAGTGGACAAAAGATTTGATTAATAATTGTTATTATTTTAGCTGGTCAGCTCGCTTGGCAGCTTTCACTAAGCCTTGCAAAACATTCAAAAGTTCCACGCTAAACGATGAATCGGTCAGACTCGACCTTCTCCGATACCGATTTGCATTGAACTTTGATTATTGGGTCCTTTAACGGTATTGAGATAAATTCATATTCGTAATCTGCAATAAAATTTACTAAATGTTGGTACTCTGGAACTGTTCTAAATAAGCGGGAACGACAGCGAGTAATTATTTTGCTTTAAATCTTGAATTGGGTTGTTTAACTTCGAAAAATATGCCGATTTTTATACATCATCTGATAGAGCTTCGTTTTCTGAGCACAACAGATTCATCTCTTCCAGTGGCGTCCCGTTACCTCACTTTTTACCTGTGCATCAACTTTAAAAACCAGGTTTATTGCCATATTCATACTCGAATCGGTTGAAAAATACACTTAATCTTCTAGTTTACTCGATATCTATCCATTGCTAGAAATATTTTGATAATTGTTTTTGTTTCGAGAGTTGGTGTACAGGTAGATTGAGGTTAAGGAAACGCAACTGATCTCTTCATCTCAATTTTTAAATCAAGATTTAAATTTTTGATCGTTGACACTAAATCCACCGACAAACCGACATGAATGACCATAGCAAAAACAATTAAATTTCTGATCAAAGCACACTACTGACATCTGGCTCCGTGTTCGCGGGAAATATTTAGCTAACCCATGAACCCGCATGCAAAAGTTATGAATTGGTTCGTGTCTGATCTATACGAGACAAATTATTTTCATCTAGATCAAAAAATCCTATGGTTTTGACAGTTCGGATCACTGCACATTTAGATCGGCCGTTTACGTTTTTCGGGCATAAGTCAGAATTAAGTGTCATGTCGGTTTGTCGGTACTTAATCTATTCGTTGACAGCTCGTTCCCGTACAAAGTCCCCCAAGGGGAGCTTAGATGGTGATTTTTGCTGAAGTAATCGTTCTTATTTAAAATAGTTCCAATGTATCAAAATTGATGAAATTTTGGATTTCGGTTCCATTTTTAATGCAGATAACGAATATGTATTTACCTCAATAGAGGTCTTTACGACCATTAGTATTAGGGTATTAGCAACAATCAATACGAAACTAACGATTTTAAATTGGCTCACCACTTTAGTAGCCTATTGGTCCCAAGCAAACGATTAACGTACCCTATTCTAGTTGAAATTCTATTACTACACTATGTTTGTTTTGATTCGCTATGAAAGTTTGACAGATAACATCAGGGGTGTGTGGATTCATGCAGAACATGCAGGGGTGAGTGAAATAGCTTGGGACTGCTTGGGACCGTTGTTCTGGTACTGAGTGAGCCAAAAATAATAATGATTTTCTTCGGGACCCAGTGGTCTTAGAGTTACCTCTATGGTATTAGCAACCGGTGAACACTCGTGTTTATTTCAGTTACCATGGAGACGTAATTTGTGATAAGCCCCGGTCCCTTTCAAATTGTATCATTATTTATTAACGGTCCTTATATTTGAAATGACGTTTCACATTCATCTAGTGATGTCCGATTTTCATTCGAATAATCGTTTAATCGATTAACGAATCGAAAAGTAAACTATTTATAATCGGTTAAATCATGCCGATATAAGCATTAACATCTCCAGAGCATCATCACCGATCGTTTCAAACATGTGCTGCACTCTCATTGGTGGAAAAACGATTAGTTGTTAATCGAGTAATTGGACATCTCTGATTTTTGTGTGATTGTTTTGATAAAAAATGAGCGCAAAATTTCATCTCTGCCGAGGGGGCAGCAAAACCACAAAATTACCTTGAATACGGGGGGTTCTCATTGGATGAAAGGGACCGTGAAAGAAGACACTAAAATAAAAAGTTTTCATCTTAGTATTCATCTTTGGTTTTAGTGAGCAGTTTCACTAATACATGCATTTTACTGGTTGAAAATAAAAAAAAAAACAAACCACTGTCAAGTCGAACACTTTGACTGCTGATTTCGTGGTTGAAAATAATAATCAAATCGATTTTACACGGCTTCACTAGCAAGGTTGTATTAGTGAGATCTAGCGGCGAGAAGTCAATACTTCTAAACAACTCAATTAAAAATCTAAACCAAAGCCTATGAGATCGAAACAAACATCGCTGTGCTCAGATAGCGAAGCTCTTTCAGATGAGGTATAAAAACCGATTAGTTTTTCAAAATTATAGGACCCAATTCTGGATCAACAATAGAAAAGGGCCCATCAGCATTTGTAAACAAACCGTTCCAAAGCCCATTCCTCTCAAATCGAAGGCCGCCCACACAAACCAACACCATCATCGTGTAGGTGGAAGTTTCCCCTATCCGATTATGGTGTTGGTTTGCGTGGGTGGGCTTCGATTGTAAATGTCATAAAAATTACCATAAGCCCCCTGGTAATCTAACCGTTTTTAGTATTAACACTTGTTAGTTTGAACTCCGCTAATCTGCATGCCGTGCAAACTATACACGGATAGAAATCTCCTTATACCTTTTGGCAAATTTCTATTGCTGATTATTCATAAAATGTATAAGTCAACTAATAAGCAGACGCCTTGCAAAATGTTACTGAAGATCATGTGTCAAATAAAATGTATAAGCTGTCACACATACCTTTTATGCATTCTTATAGGACCCATGTGGTTTGTCTTATGGAATGTATAAGGCTGATGTTTTGGCAAAAATGTATAAGTGAAACACATGAATAAAATAATTGATTTTCGTTTCGTGTAGTCGCTATATTCATAGTCTGGCGCATAGAATCTCGGGAACCAATTGAGCTGTCAGAACGAGGATTAGAGCCCAAGCAGGGGTTTCCACCGTAGCCAGATAGGCCGTTTCGAAAGGTTTTCAGCTGTCTGCTGGAAAGAGCGCTAGGTGCCACATTTGCAAGTACCGACTTCGGGTCTGCGGACCTCCCATAAAGATCGGTAATCAAGATATCCCATTGAAGAAAACTGTGAAACTGCTGGGGGTTGTCATTGACCGGTCGCTGAGTTTTGACCAGCACCTTCAAGGGGTCAAGGTCAGCTGTCGCAGCAGGATCAACCTCATCCGCACAATCTCCCGTCCCCACCGGTCCAACAACAGAGAAGTACGTTTCCGTGTTGCCCGGGCCATCGTAGACAGCCGGCTGATGTATGGACTGGAGCTGACCTGCATCACTACCGAAAAGGCTGACCTGCATCACTACTCGCTCCGGTGTACAATAGCTACACGCGCATCATCTCCGGTCTCCTACCCTCGACGCCAGCCGATGCCAGCTGTGTCGAAGCCGGCACTCTCCCTTTACGGTACCGCATCTACGCAGCCATTGCCAAGCAAGCCACTGCATTTTCTGCAAATACCGCCGGAAACGACAGAATCTGCCTCCTCAGCGAGGGGGACAGAGTTTTCCGTACAATCGCCAACGCAGAGCTCCCCCCAGTGGCCACGGAGATAAGAGTTGGCAATCTCCCGCACCAAACATCGACAGCCGGATAAAGGAGAAGTTCAGAGCCAGGGACAATTCTGTAGCCCTTAAGAGATCGGTAGCAGAGCTGACCGGATTGTACCCAAACTGCATGCATCGTTACACGGACGGGTCAAGATCTAGAGGTGGAGTCGGAATGGGAATCGCCGGTGACGGTCACGGTTCCTGTGGATCGCCCAATCCTGATCCTGTCGGACTCCCACAGTGTTATTCAGGCCCTTTCGTCGGAGGTCCCGGTCCACCCCTGGATCCAGCGCATCTTGAAGGTTGCGCCACCAAACACTACATACGCATGGATTCACGGACACTGCGGGATCCCAGGGAACATCGAGGCGGACAACCTAGCCGGGTCAGGCCATCAAGGTACCGTTGCAGGACGTGAAGAGATGGATCACTTGCACAGTGCGGACAGCGTGGGCAACGGAATGGTCCAGTGCCAGACTTCCGTTTATTAGAAAAACTAAAGGTGACATCGGAAAGTGGACGGACCTTGCAAACCTGCGAGATCAGAGGATTTTGTCCTGTCCACGTCGCCCACATGGATGATTCTCTCATGGACCCCGACGAGATGCACGGTAGTGCTAGTGGATTCATTTTGTTCCACGCCTCTTCCAAATTGGTACAGATGGTCGATTCAAGAGCTCTGCGAATCATTTAGGAAAATATACTTTATGGAATCAGCTTCCATAGGTACTTACTTGTAGGCAGTCTCTCCTCATTCTGAATTACTTTAATCTGCTCCGAAGAAATCAGGGGAAACATGTCAGAAGGGTCTAACTCGAA